TTACCATTAACCAGTTCAGATTTTAGCTGTTTTAGTAATATTTATAGTTTTTCATTTGAAAAACTAAGATTTGAGGATAATTTCATAAATAATGCTTTTACTACTGGCACATCCATATTATTTTCATCACTTGACAGTCCAACAATTTTAAACTTTGGGGCTGGTACTTTCAAAAATTTTAATCAATTTTATATCGGAGCTCTATATCCAAATATTAGCAAAACATATTCTTTATCACAAGTTGCACAAGTTAATAATTTGTAAGTACAATCCATTTAATTTTTTTTTTTAAAATTTTTTTTTAACACTTTATTTTTTTTTTTACTATTTTTAAATAGTTATATTATTTTACAATTAGATCAAAGAGAATTTGGTAGCTCTGATATAGATTTCATAGAGTATACCAATGATGTCTCAACTGATCCAAAAACCAAACTTTTTATTTCACCTGTTTCTGTTCTTCCAGATTTAAGTAGATTTACTTTAAATTCATGGTAATGTTATTAATATTGTTTTTGTTTTTTTTGTATCTTTTATTAATAATTTAATTATTTTTAGTACACTTTATTTATATCCAAATTTCCAAGTTGACTCCTTTTCTAAATTATCAACATATACAAATATTAAATCTCTCTCGATAACAAGTTACTCATCACCGTTATTGGCATTTCCAGAATTTCCATCTAATAACGTTTTTAATAGTTTCTCTTTAGGTTCAAAATTTCTTAAACCAAATAGTTTAATTAGTTTAGCTAGTTTCCAAAGTGCATCCGAAATTTCTTTTTCTCTTGTGGGAAGAGATTTTCATATTGACCAAAAAGTTCCATTTACCGACTTCCCATCAAGATATTCATCTTTTTCATTTTCAAATGGAAATATTAAAAATATTCCGCCATATGACTCATTTGGTTCAAACATTACCAAAATCATTTTAGCAGATAATTTAATGACTGGTGGACTCCCAGTATATAAAAAAGAATATGGATTAAAAACATTGTAAGTGAATTTAGTATAAAATTATTATTATTTGAAAATATTTAATAAAAATTAACAAAAATTTTATTTTATAAAATGTAGGAGTTTGATTCATAATCAATTAACTGGAACCATAGATAAATCATATTGTATGATCGAAAATTTTTTTTTTATGAACAATAGTTTCAGTGGTGAAGTTCCATCATGTTTTACTTGCCATTCCGACATTTTAGGTGATTTAAGTTTAATGTTTAACAATTTTACCAATGTATCACCAAAACCACCTTGCACCACGATAATTTTAAATGCCGAAACTTTAGGTGGAGGAAATTATATTTTATATGGTGAGGATATTGGATTCAGTGCATCAAATTTCAAAGTTTATTCAGATGGCTCTAGTGTCGCAATTTCAAAATCAATTTCTATTCTTCCAAATAATTTAATTCAATTCCAAACAACTTTAAGCAATTATACATCCTTTACCATAAATTATATAAACACTGTACCACCCATATATATTGATGTTGTAGTTAATAATCAAATTGCTCCTGAGATTGAAAATATTATAAACAACGATAATGAAGGATCATTCACATTGCAAGGAAGATATTTTTCAAACAATAGAAGTGCTCTCTATGTTCAAATTGGTGGTAATGATTGTAATATTCAAACATCAACATTTTCTCAAATTAATTGCCATGTTGCCAACTATGATGGTCTTAGCAGAAATTTAACAGTATTTGTTAAAATGGTAGATCAAGTCTCTGGCATAATGTTAGATCCAGTATCGACAAATGACCACTATGCTTCATCCATTTACATTGCTAAACCAGATACCGATAATAAAAGTATTGCTACCATTAAAGGTTGGTTTGGTGATACCCATCAGGGTTTGTCTATTGCCATTGGTGATAAAAAATGTGATCCCCAAGAAAATAATAGTACAACCATTATCTGTACATTTAATTATGGCGGTTCAGGTATAGTTTCATTAAACATCACTCAGAATCAAAAGGTATGGATCGGCAAAGACTATTATTCATATCCTTGCAAACAAAGCCATGTCCAAATGGTTGCTCAAAAAATGGTGTATGTTCTAAAGGTGAATGCCAATGTTATGATGGTTATTTCGGATTTGATTGTGCTTCAAAAACTACCGATGATAATGAATTACCAAAATCAAATCTAACAGTAGGTGAGGATTCAGGTTCCATCTCAATCAATAATCAAAAAACCAATTTCGATATCTCTATTGTCCGATTACTCGAAACTGACTTAATTGGTAATGTAGTAAGAAATTTTTCACTAAAAACCAACTGGGATACTGAAAAGAATGAAAATCAAAATACTTGGAAATTCTCTCAAGTTTTATTTGACAATTCATCCATTGTATACTATGTAGAAAAATCAGACTCGAGAAAACCAATGTCCTTTGCCGGTGTAGATTTTACATTAGAAAAAGACTCTGTTAAAACTAGAGTAGAAATTACCAATTACAAGTACCAAAGCACATTAAACACATTGCAATTAATTTTAGAATCATCAGTAAGTTTACTCGATAACACCAATGAAAATAACAATGAATGTAATGATAAATCAGTAAATATCGACTCCAACAACACCAATTTCATAACCATCAAAAAGGATGGAAAGAAGTTGTATTCAAGAATCATTGACCACATTCTTTCAGATGATAGACCCAATTTTATGAACACTAAAATTATTCATCAATCCAGCTCATCATTAACTTTAAGTTTAAATTTACCACATTGCATAAACTGTATCATTGATCCAGGTAAGTTTTTTTTTTTTTTAAAATTAAATAGTTTTAAAATTCAAAATATTAATAATTTTTTAAATTTTATAGATTTCTCTGTATTATTATCATCAGATTACAAATCTTCATGCAAATCTAAAAGTTATATTTTACCAGTAGCCATCGTTGTACCAGTTGTAGGGGTTGCTTTAATAGTAACCACAGTCCTTTTAATAAAACACAAACAAGGATCTGCTCTCTTAAAAATGAAATTATCCAGTTTCTTTGGTAGAAAATATTAAAAAAAAAAAAAAAAATCGAACCTTTTATTATAAATTAATAATTAAAAATAAATACAAATTTTAATCATTCAAACTCATCACATTCACATCTGTGTTTTACCCCCTTATCACCACTTTTTTTTTTTTTTTTTAATCATAATATAAAAACAAATATAAATCATATTAATAAAAATATAATCATATAAATAAATATATAAATAAAAAAAAAAAAATTTAAATAAATATAAATTAATATATATTAAAATTTAATCATTTTACAATTTTAAAAAATGATTTTTTTTAATAATGAAAATTATTTATTTAAAATAATAAATCAAGAAAATAATAAAAATAATAAAAATAATAGGAAGTAATTGTGGTTTAGAACCAGGTTCAATTCCAAACCGAGTAAAGAAACTAACATTTAGGAATCAATTTAATAACAACGATGTTCAAATTGCGCCATATATAATACCAAATTCAGTAGAAATATTGCATTTCATTTCATATAATAGTACGCAAAGATATGATGTCAATGTTATTCCCCCATCAGTTCATACATTGCTAATTACCAATATTTGTCATCCACTTGAATATGGATCAATTCCTCCATCCGTCACAAATCTTGAGGTGGGTTTTGACCAACCTCATAAACCCAATGTAATTCCTCCATCTGTAACTGTTTTAGCAATAAACACAAGTATTGAATACTTAACTATCGACTCAATTCCTAATTCAGTTAAGCATCTTGTTTTTGATAATTTCAAAAATGAAAAAATACCACCCAATTGCATTCCGTCATCAGTAGAGTATTTAGAGTTTTCAAATTCATACAACCAACCTATTGATGGTAGTTTTTTTAAAGATATTAAGACATCGAATTTAAAGACGATTGTTTTTGGGTCAAGATTTAATAACAAAATACTCCCAGGTTCGTTACCAAACTCATTAAAAAGTATTACATTTGGGTTCCATTACAATTTAAAATTAGAAGAAACAAACATTCCAAAAGGTGTAGAGCATATTAAATTCAACTATATATTCAACCAAGCACTTAAAGGTTTACCAGACTCATTAACAAAACTCGAGTTAGGTTATTGCTTTGATCAACCTATACTACCCAATACACTCCCACAAAATTTACATTATCTAGAGTTTGGATATTCCTTTAATAGCGACTCCATTTTATTCCCATCTGTTTTACCAAAATCTCTTAATACTTTAATAATTGGGAAAAATTATGAATTTCCAATTTCAGATTTACCTAAATCAATCAATAAAATAATACAAAAATAAATTTGAGTCTATATATAGATTTAATTTTTAGTTTAATTATTCATATCTTCTTTATAAAATTTAAAACAAAAAAAACAAAACAAAAAAAAACAATCTTTATATTTCTCTATGTATTAAAGGTTTATATAAAAATAAAATAAACACTAAACATCCACCCACAACACACTCCAATACTTCATTATAATTCACCAAAATTTTTTTTTTATTTATTCTATTTTTAAAATTTCAATAGAGTGTATTTTTAGAAATTGGTTTTTTAAAAAAGAGATACAAACGTTTTAAAACATTGATTTAAAAAAAAAAAAAGTTGAATTTTTTTAATCAAAAAAAAAAAAATTTTAATATAAAATAAAAAAAAAAAAATTTTAATTGAAAATAATTTTTTTTTTTATTTTAATTTTTTAAAGGGATAAAAAAAATATAAAAAAATTATTTATATATAAAATGGGTAAGGGTAAAAAATATTTATTTATAGTCACAATATTAATTTATTAAAATTTATATTAACTTTTTTAAATAATCTAATTAATAGATTATGATTTATTTATGGAATATTGGGAAAGAAAAGAAATAGATAAAATAATTGAAAAAATGAACCAAGAATTGAAAAAATTAATGGATGGTTGTCAAGGGCCCAATGTTTTTCAGCAACAACAATTAGATTGTGACCCAAGCCAAAAACCCCAAGATCAAAAGATTTTGAGTGGTGAAGATGTTCATTTATTTATAAGCTCTGAAAAAAAGGAATCTCAAATAGATGTGGTCCAAAAAGATAAAAATGGTGATCTCTCCCTTGAAAATAATAAAATAGAAGATACGTAATCCTCTATCAATTTTTTTTTTTTTTTAAAAAATAAATAAAATTTATTAAAAACTAATAAAAGAATGTTTGCTATTAATGTTATTATTTTTATTTTTTATTTTTTATTATTAGACTCTTTTTAATTGTTTTATTATTAAACTCTTGTTTTAGTTTTTTCTTTTAATAAATTTTTTTTTAATTGTGATAGTTTTAATATATAAGATATAATAATATTTGTTTGATAAAAAAATTTAAATTTATTGCTAAAGCCAATCAAATTCTAAAAATTTTCTCACCCTAAATTTATGGAATAATTAAATTTGCCAATTTCTATGGATGTGATTTTCAAAGAAGGGAGTTTTTTTTTTTTTTTACACAAAAATAAAAAATTATTAAAAAATTTATTTTTTTGAAAAATGGTCGAAGGTAGGTGATCTAAATTCAAAATTATTTAAAAATATAAATAAACTAATTTATTTTTTCTAAAACAGAGGAAAATGATGCTTCACAAGATTGTTATCATATTCAAGAAGAGCAACTTAACTGTGACCCAAGCCAGTCTCAAAATGAAGAAGAAAATGAAAT